TGAAACGTCAGTTTGAAAAACATTCAGATGTTACACTGACTTCCAATAAGGCCAATAAGTCTCTATACATTTGTAATCAAAAGTCCAGAGCTCTCAATTAAGCACCAACATTTGCATGAAGCTCTTTTGAATGAAGTTCCTATAAAAAAAGTGAAACTGTTTGTACACCATCATCTCATTTTTATTTTACCCTGTACCATGTATGGGTTGTCTCAATTAAATGTAATTATACTAAAGTCTTACTTCAACAATGAGGTGGCATTTCCCCCCGAGAGATGATGAAGATCACGGTTTCCTCAGACTTTACTCAATTAGCACTGTTAATGGGGCCCTGCATTGTTGCTTAGCAACACATGTAGCTGCTGAAGGTTTGGTCCTGCAAGCTTGTTCCAAATTTCTCTCTGACCTGTTGCTCAATTAAATCTCATTCCAAAGTGGGAACACTGCGTGTTTGTGCAGCAAGAGAGAGAAAGAAAAAAGCTGACTTTTCAGGGAACCCTAGGGAGCAGGATGCATTTTCAACAGGGATTTAAAATGCAAACTCCTTTTTTTCCAGCTTTTCTTTCATGCATCAGAGAGCATTGTAGCATGATTCAACTGTCAATATCATAGACCGTAAAAAAAAATTACAGTCAATGTCAATAGGATTTTGGAACCTCTCTATCCTTTTTTTGGAACCGAGGCAGCACCAGAAAATGTTTGGAAGCTACATGAACAATTCAGTTTCATCCATTTACAGTGTACAGTAAAGATGCTATAGCTGGGTTTAGATGTGTTGATAACATTTGTAATTTTCCGAATTTCTTCCTCGCGTAGGCTACCTTTATCCAAAACGCTGTTGAAGACATCCACAAACCTGAAATCCCGAGTCTCTGATTGGCTAAAAATTACGTTGGGTTGAAGATGTAGATTAGAGATAGTTTGGATTTCTGAAGATTATTTCAGTGTTATTTTTCAGTTACTAAGGACAACTCTAATGTCTTGTGTCAAGGAGGGAGCAGGTGCAGCCTGCTAATCATGCGACCTGTCAGGCAAAGGCTGTTCTAGCTTTTTCACGAGCAGCAGGAGATCAACATTTGTTTGTTTAGCCTCTGATAGCAGATGTTATAATTGCATGGTTAAGTGGGCAAAAAGCATTTTTCTCTATTGACAGCTATTCAAAAGTATTTGTGTATTCAGACTATTTTGGCATATAAATTGTAAATTATTAGGCTACTTTATGGCACTCTGTGTGCTTTTGTGTGTTGTAATAGTGTTGATACTCTTTGTTGAGTCTTTCTCATACTATAGGATGCATCTGCAGGTTTGGTTTAAATCGATTATAGGTACATATTCACTTAATCCAATGCTTTTCTTGTTCTCTGTGTTGTCCAGAATCCAATCAGTGCTTTATGAGAGAGAGAAGCCGCTCATCGGGTGAGGGACTAGTTTGAATCTTTCAGACTGAATCGCAAATTGATTCAGGCCGCTTTATTAAAGGGTTAGTTCACCCCATAAAAAAAGAAAATTCCTGTCATTAATTACTCACCCTCATGTTGTTTCAAACCCATAAGACTTTTGTTCATCTTCGGAACACAAATTAAGATATTTCTGATGAAATCAGAGAGCTTTCTGACTCTCCATAGACAGCAATGCAACTGAAATGTTCCCAGGCCCAGAAATGTAGTAAGGACAGCATTAAAATAGTCCATGTGACATCAGTGGTTTAACTGTAATTTTACTATAAGAATACTTTTTGTGTGCAAAAGGCTTAAATTAGCTGCTTATTGCAATTGATGGGGTTATTATTCACTATATACATGAATTAGATGAACATTTAAGAACATCTCTGCTTTTCATTAAAACGTATAGACTAATTGAATGAAATCATTTAATTTGCATTCATAGTGTTTCAATTATGACACATCTTCAATTAAAATATGGGCAGTTAAATATGTAAATATTCATATGCCTATATATAAGTCATAGAATAATGTAACTTTCAGATGAATCTCACAAAATAATGACTTGATTCAACAATTCTTCTCCTTTGTGACACAGTTCGCCGCCATTCATGAGAGTGATGCAAAAACGGTTAAATAAAGTCTTTATTTTATCAGAAAGTCAGAAATCTCTCGGATTTCATCAAAAATATAATTTGTGTTCCGAAGATGGACGAAGGTCTTGGAAAGACATGAGGGTGAGTAATTAATGACAGAATTTATTTTTAAGTGAACTAAGCCTATCCCTTTAAAATTGAAACGAACTGATTCACAAGAGTGATTCATTCGTGAATCGGGCATCGATAGTTCTAAGCGTCGAACAGAAAACACACATAAATATTACTATCAAGGGAAAATATTTCTCAAGTCAGTATACGGCATTGTCCCTCTCTGTTGAAAAAAACCAGCATATGCTGGTTAGGTATGTTTTGAAGCTGAGATGCAGGTTTGAGCTGGTTTAAGCTGGTCCTTTGCTGGTTTATGCTGGTCCTAAACTGGTCCGACCAGCACATGACCAGCTTAAACCAGCAAAGGACCAGCTTAAACCAGCAAAGGACCAGCTTAAACCAGCAAAGGACCAGCTTAAACCAGCAAAGGACCAGCTTAAACCAGCAAAGGACCAGCTCAAACCAGCATCCCAGCTTCAAAACACCTATGAGGCAGTTTGTTTGAAGCATTTCTATTTGGATGGAGGCAATGAACAAATAGGCTACGCTCTTCACTGAACAAGTCGCTGTTCTGTGTAAGGAAAACTGTATGTGCTCTTTCAAAGTCTATACTCAAATGCTATTTACTCGTAGTACAGTAGTCAGCCACCAAATCAGTCACCAATGTTGCCAACTTAGCAATTTTGTTGCTAGATTTAGCAACTTTTCAGACTACCCTAGCAACTTTTTCTTCCAAAAGCACCTAGCAACAAATTGAGCTATTTTTACACATTTATTTGGCAACATTTAGCAAATTTTGATAAGTGACTCAAATAATAAAAAAGGCACACATTTTCCATCTAAATTACACAAAAAGAGGAAACCAAAGGCAGTACGCAATTCACATGAATTAAGTTGGCTGCTATTAGCAATTGTTTAATTTAATAATAATAATAATTGAATAATTGTTAATTTATGATACACCTTGTTAGTAGCTTGTACTTGAGATTGTTGATCAGTTGATCAAGAAAAATATCTAGAAAAATGAAAAATGTAGTAATTTTCCAGGACATTATCCATAATCCGAAAACACAAAATACAATGCGTAATTTAAAGGGGTCATATGATGCGATTTCAAGCTGATTGTGCATAGATAAGATCCCTGAAGTTGCAAAGACTAAAGTCTCAAAACCAAAGAGATATTCTTTAATTCTTTAAAGACTCTGCCACGCCCCCCTAAAACGGCTCGTTCTAACACCTGATGGTAAAACTAATGACATTATTTACTGTCTTTACATTTACTTTGAAAGATGAAGCTCATGATTATGGTAAGGGGCGTTACATTTCCGACGAGTGCTTGCGGTGTTCGGCCAATCACAATGCACTGGGTCAGCTGGCCAATCAGAGCAGACTGCACTTGTCGGAAGGAGGAACTTTGTAGAAAACTAAGCGTTTGAGAGAGGCGGGGCATAGAGGACCTACAATAATGTACAGTATTTGAAAAAGAATGTGTTTTTTAACATTAAAGCATGTCAACATATTCTGTTACACCAAATACACAAAATAAGGATCTTTAAAAAAGCATCATATGACCCCTTTAAAATGTAGGTAAAAGAACATGTGAATAATAATTATGGAAAATTCCTTCATATTAATAGATTTTGCCCTATTTTTACAGACTTTTCTTAGAGTGTAGCATACGAACTACTAACACACTGCTTAAATCTATAATTGTTCAGAATGAGTAGTTTTACTAGCTAATAAAAATAAACTTAAATTGTAATTGTTAAAAAGTTTGAGTGTTAAATAATCCAATGTTGTATTTAAAATGTGTTATTTATATTTTAATATTATATTATGCATTTATATTATTTTATAAACGCATCTAAATTAACATTTACTTTTTTTTTTTGTGCTGAGATTTGTTTTACTAGTTTACTAGCTAATAAAAATAAACTTAAATTGTAATTGTTAAAAAGTTTGAAAGTGTTAAATAATTCATTGTTGTATTTAAAATTAGTTATTTATATTATGCATTTATATTATTTTATAAACGCATCTAAATTAACATTTACTTTTTTTTTTTGTGCTGAGATTTGATGCAGTGACGCAATGTTGCATCGTGATTACGCAATGACGTCAACGCGCAATGACATCGCGTCATCAAGCAACTTTTAGCAACAAATCAATCTTGCTTTAGCAACTTCCCCTAAAAATTAGTTGGCAACACTGTCAGTCACGCGTTTCAACCGGAGGAGACTTACTGAAGCGAAAGTGAGAATTATTCGTCCAATTTTTGTTTCAAATTAAATTCGTTTACGAAACACCAATACACCCAAGCAGCTCCCACTGAGATGAATAGAAATTAGCAAATATTGAAATTAGCTCACTCCAGGAATATTGTGACTCCTCGGCACCCGGAGATTGCCATCTCCACATCTCTAGGACTCTCTCTGGCCGGTCACGTGATCTCGCAGTAGCATGGAACGCTTTAAAGTGCTCTGGCTTCATCCAGTCGAGTGCTGAGCGTCAGTGGAGCAACTTTTAGCAACAAATCAATCTTGCTTTTAGCAACTTCCCCTAAAAATTAGTTGGCAACACTGTCAGTCACGCGTTTCAACCGGAGGAGACTTACTGAAGCGAAAGTGAGAATTATTCGTCCAATTTTTGTTTCAAATTAAATTCGTTTACGAAACACCAATACACCCAAGCAGCTCCCACTGAGATGAATAGAAATTAGCAAATATTGAAATTAGCTCACTCCAGGAATATTGTGACTCCTCGGCACCCGGAGATTGCCATCTCCACATCTCTAGGAATCTCTCTGGCCGGTCACGTGATCTCGCAGTAGCATGGAACGCTTTAAAGTGCTCTGGCTTCATCCAGTCGAGTGCTGAGCGTCAGTGGAGTGGAGAGCGCGAGAGCCCAGCACCACAATAATGGCAACCACAACAGCAGGTGCGACAGCATTCTGCTTTCATTTCTCGAAACACTTCTAAACCACGCTATCGCATGTTTGACTTTTACTTGTTTATGTTTAATAATTAATTTTCTACATTTTTTTTGTTTCCTAGAAGGCGAAACCCGTCAAAGACTGCTGCGAAACGTGAAGAAGGAGGTAAGTGATAGTAAAAACAAATAAAGCCAAGTGAACACAGGGCTGAAACGCCCTTTAAAATGTGACTCATGATTCAGACATGTCTACAAAATGTGTGGTGTTAAGTTAACCAAACACTGGAGCTAATATTATACGTGAAAGAAAGCTGCCAGAGCAAAATAATTTTTTTTTAATGCTGTTAAATTGTTGGTTTAGTTGTTGTATTGTGATAATCAATAGATCTCAGTCTACAGTATATCATGAATAATATATTCAGTTTTACATATCTATTTTTTCCTGAATATGCTGCATCTGTTTGTCTTATTCCCCATCAAGCATCTGCCACTGACTCAATGCCAGCTTTATCACACTATTTTTTTCCAAAGCATATTCATGTCTGCATTAATAAAATAGTGAGTGTGACGTTTTATTCAAATGTGATGCTGTTACAGTCAGGTTGGCAGGTCTCTGTTATATTATTACATTTAATACATTTGATTTTGAAACAACAAATTTCTCTATGGATTCAGATGCATTTAATATACAGACAAACGTTTTGTTCAAATGTACGAAAACATTGAAATGTATTTATATATCATCCACATCTACGGTTAATGATCCATACGCACTCTGTAAGCACTTTCTATATGTTACAACTGCCCATATCATCCCTCAGACTGCATTGTGATTTTGAGTCCTTAAAATACCTGTTTGTTCATAGAATTTCTTCTTGTTGAAATGTAAAATACAGCTTAAGGCTCACTGCATCTTTTAATTTATTTGTGGTATTGATTTAAGGCCAGTCCTGTCTCTTTTGGCAGCACAGAATGCATTGTGTGGTCTTTGACTTTCAGTCATTTCATTTGATTAATAGGTTTCAATAATCCTTTTGAGTTAAGCAAGCGCTCTCTCTGTGTATTTGCACGAGTGTATGTTTAAGCGGTTGCTCAGTGGATGAGGTTTTGTATGAATTTGGATGATTTCCTCACAGCAGGCATGTATGTAGTAGCCGCACTTGCCCTATACTACTGTTTTGATTTATGGTTCACTATTATAAGTTGTGATAGCAGTCGCTGATATCCTTATCTGTCATGTGTGTCAGCGATTCATCCAGACATGAGTGCAGTGGATTTTTGAGTGGTACTGTGGTATATTACTGTTTTTAAATGTAAAACTCACAGCTTTGTGGCGATTGGACAATGCATCATCTTTTATGGACCCCGTCTTGTTGCAGTCATGTGGTGCAATGTATAAATAATGAGAAATGATAAAAATGCAATAAAAAAGTTGCATTTACAAGAATGAACATTGGGGGGGAAGAAAGGGTAAGATGCCTCCCAGGGCAAGATGATGGTACAAAATATCATCTCAACACTTTTAGTAAATAATTACGCTATTTTTAATTTTGTAAAAATCATGTCAATATTTGTGAGATTTAGTCAGTTGAAACAGTTTAATTGATCTAGTTTTGTGTGTCTGGAAAATAGTGATCTATGACACTGCATTATGTTTTTTTGTTAATGAGAGAACACACTAATGTTTTTAGATTTGTGGAGCAAAAATTATAGTTTTTATTTTGAAAAAAAGATAAAATTAGACCCTTAGGGGTAAGATGACCCCCCTTCCCCCCAGAATTGGTACAAAATGCCCCAGTGGCATGTTGTTAGTGTTATTATTTTTTAAATGTACTGCTTATTGTAATTAATGGGGTTATTATTCACTATATACATGAATTAGATGAACATTTAAGAACATCTCCACTTTTCATTAAAACGTATAGATTAATTGAATGAAATCATGTAATATGTATTCATAGTGTTCCAATAATGACACATCTTCAATTAAAATATGGGCAGTTAAATCTGTAAATATTCATATGCCTATATATAAGTCATAGAATAAATGTACCTTTCAGATGAATCTCTTGGGATTCTGCTTTGTTTGTCATCATCAGTTATTCAATTATTCTACTAAATTGTCGTACAATTTAAATTGAATAGTTGATTAAGTATTTTACATTAATGATACTTTTAAAATATATACATATTAATAAGAATTAAATATAAACATTCATTTATGCATTCTGTAGAAGTTTAGCCAGTAGTGGGGTAAGATGCCCTCTTGGAATAATTTTACATTTTGTGCTTTAACAACTAAATTAGTAAATGTTTCTATTTAACTTACCTTAATAACACATTAGCTGATGCATGCATTATCATCTTGGACATGCTAAACATATTAGTTACAGTCAATTACTATTGACTGAATTACTACACATTACTATCAGTCAAATTTAATATAAATCTGTGTTGTTGTTTTTGTGCAAATGTCAGGCATCTCAGATTGAGGTGTTTGGCAGTCAGAGCCTGGTCTATAATCTGTCATTGCACTGTGTCTCAGAGCATCCCTGTAGATGCATAAAAAATGAATTTTCAGTGCTTGAAACACATTATTATGATGACTGGAACAGCTAATCAAGAAGAGCGGAGGCAGGTGAACTCTCACCCTCCGTTGTATGGTGCTCATAATGACAATGTATTCTTGATCCAAGTGTTTACAGCATAACTGCCTGGAACCTGGAGTGATTTGGCATTTGCAGTGCATATTTACCCTATTGCAGCAGTTAACTAAAATTATGAAATATTATTAATACAGATATTACATTGCTGATACGATGAGCACCGACAATGTGACAAAAAGGCTCATTCTGTGTCTGTCACTATCAGTCTGTGATCTCTCTCTCTCTTTCCCACACCTGTATTGACACAAGGAGAGGGTCATGCGCAGAAAGCCTCACACTCTAGCCAGCAGCCCACCATTTGTTTACCTTTCCCTCTCAGCTTCCTTTAACACAGCTAGTTTAATCCATAGCTTATCAGTGTGTCCTTAAAGAACCTCTTACTTTATTTTAAACTGAGTGTGGATTTTTCCATATTTTCAAGAAAAATTGCTATGGAATTAGTTGTTAAAGGGGTTTTTAACTGGATGATGCGATTTTCAAGTTTTCCTTTCTCTTTGGAGTGTTACAAGCTGTTCGTGAATAGATAAAATCCCTAAAGTTGCAAAGACTAAAGTCTCAAACACAAAGAGATATTCTTTATAAAAGTTAAGACTCGTCCACGTCCTCCAAAAATACCTCGTTCTAACACGCCCCCACATGTCTACGTCACTGTGTGGGAAGATTTGCATAACGCCGCCCAAATGTTCACGCAAAGGAGGCGTAACTTTGATTCTCGCTGTAGTATTGTTGCTGCCGCCGCTGCCATGTCGTGGAGACGCTGTGTGTTTCGTTGTGAAAGCGAAACTACTTTGTTTGGTCTTCCAAAAGAGGACACGACTAGAAATCAGTGGTTAAGTTGTATTTACAACACTGTTCCAGAACAGTTCAACCCAAATATTCAGATGTGTGCAGCGCATTTTACGGAGGACTGTTTCCTGGGAGAGTAGCCTACAATGCCGGTGTTCTGACAAATAATGCTGACTCACAGCCTGTAAGTATGTTTTCATATTTATAGGATTTGCCACTGATGATTCAAACGCGAGTTTTGAGCAGTGTAGAGTAGCGCTTGTTGTTTGTCATTTGTCCGATCACAAATGCAGACATGGTTTTATGTTTACGCGGCTCGATACGCAACGCAACGCGTAAAAATACAGTATAAGTCATTATAATCAGTCACCACTGGATGCAACAAATGCCTTGTTTATAATGGGTTTTATTGTTTTTGTCTCATCGCGCCGGACACGGCATCACAGTATGGTAAGGGGCGTAACATTTCCGTCACACGCTTGAGGTATTCGGCCAATCACTACGCACTGGATAGCTGACCAATAAGAGCACACCTCGCTCTTCAGACCGATGAGCTTTGTAAAAATCGACACGTTTCAGAAAGGGGGGCATAGAGGAGAAACAATAATGTACAGTATGTGGAAAATAATGTTTTTTTTTTACCTTGAACAGCATAAACACATTTCATTACACCAAATATACAAAATAATGTTCTTTTTTAGCAACGTCATAAGACCCCTTTAACAGAAACATCATTAAATTGGTTAGTTTGACTTAAACTATACAGTAGTAAAGACTAGAGTTTGTGATAAATCATGAAAAGTCATGATAGGTCACACGTTAATTTTCTGCACTGGATTTGGAGAGTATTTAAAGAAAAAAATTGTAAATTGTGTTGCTGAGAATGACTGGTTCTGCAGTAAAGATTTCTTTCTCTTTGTCACTGTTTAACGCACTACTGAAATCCTGCACCCAGTCAATATTGTTTTTGTGCTTAATTAGCATAGATTAAACAATAGAGTCAAATAACATTTCATAACTAATTCAAGAGATATCAACCATTTCGAAGGTGGTTGAATAAATGGTGCATTTTAAAGGGGTCACAAAAGATTATTCAGCATTAATTAAATCGTGAAATTTTTAAATCATTGTTTTTAGTAACCCCCACAGGCAGCATCTTAGTCAAACATAGTAAAGAAAATCTAATCGTCCTCCTTTTCCCCCCTGATTATACATTTCTAATGGAAAAAACCATCTGTTAGAGTCTGTGAGCCAATTAATCACCATGTTCTGGGTGCAGAGACCAGTCTGTGAATGTGTTACGAAACAACTCTGCAAGATGTTGTTTCAGTGTGTGCAAGAAACACTTAAACCTCATGCCAAATAGCAGCAAACCTCAGCTACTGGCGCAAAAGCTTGTTAAACAGTCAAGCCACTGAGACTCATTTAAACCTAATGGGTTTGTATGTGACTAAACAGAAGACACATTACACTAATGTGACTGAGAAGAATTATTTATGAATGTGCAGACTGTTTGTATGAAATCGTCCAACATCTCTTAACACCAACTCCAGTTCAGTCATACTTTGGTTTACATACAGGTGCATCTCAATAAATTAGAATGGTGTGGAAAAGTTCATTTATTTCAGTAATTCAACTCAAATTGTGAAACTCGTGTATTATATAAATTCAGTGCACACAGACTGAAGTAGTTTAAATTATGAAGTATTCTAAT